ATTTTTTTTTTTTTTTTTTTTAGCGGAGTCTAGTTTCGGTAAAACCTCGAAATTTGTAGGCCGGGCTGTTTACTGCGAGGAGTTTGTGCTCGACTTGCTCGACGTCCGGATGATGAACAAGAGCCCCGATGCAGCAGCTGTCGCGCAGGCTGAAGGACGCTTCTCCATCGCCTGTAATCTCAATGCACTACCCCACTGCAGCATCACTACCGTCAGCCGAACGAAATACACGTCTAAGACAGCCGGAGATTCACAATGAATAAAAGCAACTTCAGCCAGACTGCATTTTCGTGGCATAGATTGGTTTATCTGTGCCAGAAAGATGCCCTTCAATCCACCATGCGTCCACCATGACGTGCGCTACAAATATGATTCTCTAACACAGTTAAATATGGAAGGTAGTTGATTATGGCCTGTTTAGCAAGGAGAACGCGATAAACAGAGAGTAACGTCTATATAATCCAGCCTTTAAGCTCAATAGGCCTTTCAAACGCCTATTTTGAATCCCAAAGGATATGCATTCGAGATCACGACAAGGCCACACTGTGTCCTGGAGCGCGCATTACACCGCTAAAATATGTGACCAAGAAAACAGGTTCATCTCAGTCTATCTGATGCTGCTCTGGAGGCTGGGTACCACCATGGGTACCTCCTCTCTCCAAATCGTGTCAGGATGTCAAAGACTCCCATTGCAGTGATTGTGGCCTGTTGCTTACAAGCAGGGCCGGGATAGTAAGTGATGTTGCACTTAATCATGCACTGCTCTCCTTTTCTGCAGTTTGCTTTTCAAGGCAGCTGAGATTGAAGAAGTCTGTGTGCCTGGTGTACAAGTGGCGGAAAGCAGTGAATCATGGCAGGTGAGCTTCCCCCCATTTATAAAGGCTGAATAAAAGCTCGTGCACCTCTCTTGACTTGATTTCTTCTTGATGTGAAGTACTGAATCACATCTCTGTGTCCTAGAAAACAACTTCCCTCCCCTTCCTCGCTTCATCCCCCTTAAGCCATGTTTTTACCAAGACTTCAACGAGATCCCAGACCAACACCGCACTATGTGCAAGAGGCTCTACTACCTCTGGATCTGTGAGTGTACCTGCAGGAAGTGCTTTTTATTTGCTTTGCATTTGGAAGCAGTCGGTATTTGCATGCATCTAGCTGTAACCTGTTAACCTGTCTACTTCTCTTCCTCCTCATGCTGGGCTACTTTGTTTTACCCAAAATATTATGAGAACTAAAGAGTGCAAACACTCTGTGCAGCTGGGAAACTAGATTGGCCGGTCTCACATTATGTCACAGAGCCAGATAACCATCGTTTTCATTTTACTGATTTTATTTTGAGGGGTAAAGTTTGAAAATGATTTAGCTCACACATTTACTTAGTGGTTTGTGATTTGACTGACAAACTGTTCACAAATCTGAAGCCCAATTGAGGTCCCACGGGCAGAAAATGAGGACTTCAGCTATATTTTTTAATTTCCCAAGAAAATAATTTATTTACACAAATCAGTGGGGTACAAAATGAAAAATGGTACATTGTGAAACAAAGTTACCATGCTAGTACCAATATTTGATGGTATTGATACTTGGATTGTTCCATTCACCTCTAATGTATGCTATAACTCTTAGAATATAATACAGAAGTATGTGTGTGCAATCTTAGGCTTGACAGGTGTGCTCACCTGTCACAGAAAGAGGAGTTATTGTACAGTTTTATAGTGAACGATAGGAATAATTTCCAAAAAAGTATGCTCTTTATTTATTCCCCACTATTATCTGAGATCCACTAACTCTTAACTCATTAATGAAGAACATAATTTGTACATAAATTGTAAAAGTGGGTAGTAGTGTCAAGTTATTACAGTCACATGAGTATTATGGTATGTTTTTCATTATCACATAGGTGCTGCTATTTAAAGCAAAAATGTAAGTCTGGTGAAAAGATAGTTTAGAGTATATGTTTATGTTTGGTGGAAATGGTGTGCTGAATAAAATGTACCTTTATATCATATTTTATTATTATAAGTCTTGAATGTAGAACTGGAAATATGGCAGTGCGTAGTTGTTGGTCTTCATAGTGATTAAATCCTGCTGAGTTATGAGTAATGATGGAGCCTGCGGGGTGTTTGCTGTAGCCTTTTTTTGTTTGTTTGTTTCCTCACTCTTTTATGTTTTTGTCATTCTTCCTCTCTGTGACGCTGATAGTGCATAGTGCCACGCTAGCTGTTAATCTGATTGGTTGCCTGGCATGGATGTGTGGAGGCGGTGGAGCCACCAACTTTGGCATGGCTATCCTGTGGCTCATCCTCTTCACCCCTTGTTCCTACGTGTGCTGGTTCAGGCCCATCTACAAGGCCTTGAAGTAAGCGTGTTTCCCTCTGAGTTACACTTCTTCCTGCTGTTCTGCTGAATCAGATCATTTCTGACGATTAGTCTCTCCACGCAGGACAGACAGCTCATTCAACTTCATGGCTTTCTTCTTCGTCTTCATGGCCCAGGTGGTGATCAGTATTATCCAGACTGTTGGCATTCCAGGCTGGGGAGTGTGGTAAGAGTTTGTACTGGTTCATTAAAAGTAATGTGTACAGATGAAATGGAAATTAACTGGCATTTATACAGTTTATTTCTTGTCTTATTGTTGCTAAAGATGATTCTAGAAGCACCTGAATCAAGGGGTATACTTTGTAATCTAACCTAAAGCATACACTTTGGTTCAAAAATAATTTTTTTCTAAACCAATGAGGCTTTAAAGAGGTTCATTATCCTTCTGAGGTCTAAGCCATCAAACTTTAACTCATAATTCTTAAATCATTTTTTTGGTGATAAAATATGATTAACTTTGATGCATGGTTGTTTCCTTTGTTCCCTGATTGCCAAGATATGGGAAAATAATTTAATAAATGAAATAACTATATTCCCATCGCCTAGGTTTAGAGTTAGTGTTCGGGTTTTCCACCACCACATAAGTATACTGTAATATACTCAACCTCTCTTTAACATTAATGTACTGAAGAGAAATGGGAAATATTAAAAAGCAGGTATACAAGCAGTTTTTTACCCCTTGAAAGTCCTTTTTGTTTCACACTAATAATAATATTAACAATAAAATGATTATTAAATATGTGCAGTGTGAAAACAAGAATACAGCCCATACGCTGGCATGAGCAAATGACCAATATATTTGTATATATATTTCTAAGAAGAGACAGATGGTAAATGGACTGATTCTTCCATAGCCCTTTTCTACTCTATCTGAATACTCAAAGGGCTTTAAACAACTTCCCTCATTCACCCATTCATACAAGCACTTTTTTCATAAGCTTTTTCTGTGTAAAGGTTCTTTCTATTTAACATTCATTCTACAATGGATGCATTGGATGCCCAAGGACATTTGGCATCCAGACTGGAGTAGCCAGGGTTCGAACCACCATTAGCAGACGGCCTGCTATACCTCCTGAGCTACAGCAACCCCAGGAGACACACCCTTTAGGCAAACACAGAGTTTGTCCAGCACAAGGCTCTCTGCAACTTCCATTTTGATCAGGCTGTTTTGAACACAACAGCCAGCTGATCCGAACAGAATCATGCCTGAATTATTCTTTGGCAGGAAATCTATGCCGTAGCTTTCGATGTAACTGAAAACTCTTTTTAACTCTACACTGTAACCTGACATTCAGCTTTTAAGAAATGTATCTATGTGCTGGCTCAATGGCATGGAAGGTTGCGATGTTGGGTTAAGAGGGGTTTCAGGTTGTAAAGTTAGGATGTAGATTTTCTGCAGAAGTCTACATCAGGCTTTAGGCACAGCATAGATTAGTAATTCACAGCTTGTAACAATAGTCTCTAAATATTTTGGTATCAATCTTAAAAATCCAATATCAGAATTATCTAGAATCATCAAGCTTAATGTATTATTTAAATATGCTGTATTGTGAGCATATGATGATTCTTCTGTGCTTCTTCTTCAGCGGTTGGCTGGCCACCATCACCTTCTTCAGCACCAACATTGGCTCAGCTGTGGTCATGCTGATTCCCACCATCATGTTCACTGCAGTGGCTGTTTTATCCTTCATCGCCCTCTCAAAGGTGAGTGACTGATTTCTACCTGGTCACAGAAGTGATTAGATCAATTAGTGCTGGTATTATCAAGTGAAAGATAGCAATCCAGTCCAAGTAGCATTGAATAATTAGCTTGTATTATAATGCCAGCGCTATTTCCCACTTAAAGGGAAGCAGTGATAACATGATATTTGATTCATTTGCACTAGCAACAGAAATCTTTGGAGATGATATTTATTTATTTCAGGCTGTTTTTAAATCTCTTTTTGGTGAATGCAAGGAATCCATGAGGGGCCCAAGTACTTATTAAAACTTGGTGATCAGAGGTTATTGTGGCTATATGTTGTGCATATGCTGTGTTTGACAACATATTACAGTAAGGTTTAATAGGATGACATTATGACGTTTTCTATACAAAATGTCAAAGGTTGACTTCACTGTGACATCAGAGTGTTCTGCAAAAACATTTGAAGCCACAACTCTTGAAAAGAAGAGGGGATTGTGACCATATTTCATGATTGGTGGCATCTAAGTTGATGATGCTAATCCCGAGTTCTTACGTTAAAGCTTTGGTCAAGGTGTGACTGTTTTGTGCTGCATGATTAAATATGTGTGTGAAGCATCCACCTTTTAGAATCTGTTGTTTCTTTAAGGCTATAATTCTAGTTTTTTAACTATACCTGCTAAGTCATTGTGGCAAATTCTTACCATGGGAATGCTGTCCATCTATCACCACACCTTCATATATCAATCAGCGGTATTCTTTGCTCTCATTGGTAGTTGCTTCACTTTGCGGATCCCAAGTTAACGGGTCCCAAAATAGCAACACCAGGAGTTATTTTGTCTTGATGTCACTTATTGTCATTGAGGGTCCGATGCCCCTTTGGCTGTGCCTGCCCACATGGACATTACATAAATCAATCGGTAGTCATGACTAGGTGGTATAAACACACAGCTCTGGATCTGCACTCAGCTCTTTTGTCCAATAAACTGTGACAAAAAACTAGATGACTGTGAAAACTATCTTTTTGATTTTAGTAAAGCACAGATAAATGGCTAGTATTGAGTACCTTGCATATCTATGGAGTCTGAATTTTTTTTAAAAAGTAAAAAAGAAAAATTTAACAGTGCATGGACAAATATTTTATTTCACTACCAGCACTGATATTTTACCAGTAAGCATAAATTGTTGGTAGACTTTTGTCAAAATACAATTGAAAGTTATCTATTTTTTTGTTTTGTTTTGCTATATTTAAAGCCATTAGGCTGCTATTTTTTTCATGTATTATCCAGGTAACCTCCTTTTAATTTGATTCATTCACACAAATTCCAGAAGAACTCAAAGTAACTGCAGAGCTTTATAGAAACCCTGTTTCAAAGTAGGTCTAAATATGCTAATACAGTGATTCACAAAGTGTGGGCCTGGCCCCCCTGGTGGGCAGCAAAGATATTACAAGAGGGGCCTCAGGAACGACAGAAATTCAGTTTGAAATTACTTGCAAGTATGTACCATTACATATTTATATAAATGTATTATTCATATAAACAGTGAAGTAAAAATGGTAATAACAGTTGGTTATGTTGTTAGTGCTCATTACTCTGACCTGAATTTACCGCTCCTGTATTAAAGTTTGTGTCCCAGGCAGGTGGGTCAGAGATTGGCCTTAACACTTTGCTTAAGACTGGGTAGGATTAGCAATGAATAGCCAACAGCCTGTGTTGTTTATGTTTTTAATACATTTTTCAGAGAAATACATCAGTTTGCCTTGTGTTCCGATCTACTACAGACAAATAATAAAATTCACCTTTTCTTTATGGTAATTTGGTCAATTTTACAAATTGAAAAAAATAAAAGTCATACTTGATAGAGAGTAAAATTCATGTTGAATCCCATTTCTCCTTTCTGTCTTTTTTTAGGTGCATAACTTCTACCGCGGCAGTGGTGGCAGCCTGGGTAAAGCCCAGGAGGAGTGGGCTACGGGTGCCTGGAAGAACCCCCATGTCCAGCAGGCAGCCCAGCAGGCCGCCATGGGGGCTGCTCAAGGCGCCATGCAGCAGAATCAGTACTCAGCAGCTCCCACCTACAACTACGACGAACCCATGTAGGACAGAGGAGTAGGCCAGGCGGCTGAGTGGGAGAACTAAAAAGGGATCAATTAAGAACACAATTCAGAATTAGGTGCCCGTCATTATAACACTGTAATGCTGAACTCAAACAGAACAATGTAAAAGTCATGTTTTTGGTGCAAATGTACTGGGATTTCATTATTTTACTCGGTTCACATTTAAATCAACAGTTATTTTAAAAAACAAAAAATGTTGCTGTTGTTTTATGCTGCTCAGTTGTAGCTGGTCGGTGTTGCTTTCCAACAGAGACACATAGCCTAAAATAGGTAGACCCAGTCCCCTGAGCATCTTCAGTTTATTCGAGTAGGTGGTCTCCAATGTCACTCTGTAAATTTTCTAATGATCTTTAATGTGATATTTAAGGGACTGAAACAGCTATATTGTTAAGGGTCTTTACTTTTATTAGCCTTGAAGATCACCAATGCTGAAACAGTTATTTCTCAGCTGATGTAATGGACTAGCTGTTTGGCTAACAGCTAAATTCTTATATACAAATGTCAAGAATTTTTTATTTCCCATTAAAGGAATAGTTTGACCATCTTGGGAAACACCTTAATTCATTCTCTTGCTTCAGGGTTATATATAGGGTATTATAAAATTAATCTTTGCTAGCAGCCAGTTAGCTTGAATTAGCAAAAAGACCAGAAACTGAAGCTGAAACAGATAGCTTGGCTTTATCCAAGGATATTAAAATCTTCTTAGCAATTATAGCTAGCAGTATAGCTCTAATGATCTGACTAGCTCATTATATGTCACTTAAGAGCTCTTAGAGGCAGATTTTATTTTATTTTGACAAAGTCATGCTAGCTGTTTCTCACAGATGTGAAAGATCCACAGATCGCAAGGGGAAAATATGTACTTTCCAACGGGCTAGCAAGTGGTTCCTGGATATTGCCAGTAGTCACCAGGTGAAATCACTCAAAAAAAAAAAAAAAAGGGTGCAACACCAAAAACCTCCCTTGTGGTCGCTTTGGTTGCTAGCAGGTCAAATTTAGTTTGCATTGAAGATGCTGACTTGTATGCAAATGCTCGCTAACTATTGACCTAGCAGCAGTAAAACTTGAAAAAGTGCAACTTAACCAGGAACGTTCTGCCTTTTGAAACATGTTGGCTGCACCGCTGAGGCACAACTTTTATTTTAAAGGCTAACGTTTTCTGTTTCACCACAGCTCAGATAGCAGTTAGACAGTTTTTGTAGATAAGTTAGCATCTTCCTTGCAAACTACTGGCAACCGCAGCAATCTGTTAGCGACCAAAGCTATTTCATATTTACAGATGTGACAGGGGTTGCTTTTTAACTTACAGCAAGAAATTAATTAGATCAAACTACCTATTTCCTAAAGGTTATGGTACATTTTAAGTAACCTTTTGTTTTTTTGTTTTTTTTTTTAAATTTATGCTTAAATACCAGTAAAGAAGCTCATCATCTTTCTCTGCTTTTTTTCTTTCTTTTTTTTTGATTGAAAAAGAAAGTTAAACCGACTAAAATGAATATTTTAAAAACAGAAATATGGAGTTTTTGTTTTGGTGATCTTTTTGACAGTATAAGTCGATTTATTTACATTCTCAGGAAAAGTCTAATAGCTGTTTTTAAATTCTACCTGTAAAGCCTGTAGAGCTTCAACATGTCGGGCTTTTGTCTCCTTATATCGCCCCTATTGACCATGTTTGGTTTTGTCGTTATATACTAGTTTTATTGACCATGTTTGGTTTTGTCGTTACATACTAGTTTTATTGACCATGTTTGGTTTTGTCGTTACATACTAGTTTTATGTTGAGTTTAGTTCAAAAATTTCTTCTTTTTTTTTCATGTTAAAGTGAAGCACACGCAGTATTTAAAGATTGGAGTTTATTGGTCAGACATTCCAAATCGATGTTAGTATAAAGGTCAAAGTGAAAGAAAACCAAAACACTTGCAGGTTATGGTAAGTAATAGTAATAATTGTTGTAAGGTGGTCATAACATTGTATGGAGTGATGGATGTTTACTCTCCCTTTGGCAAATTCTCCCGCTTACCCCTACGTGTAAATGCTTCAGTGACTCCTTGTTTCTGAAATTTGGGATTTCAGGCCTTAGTGTGTTATTTCGTGGATGTTGGTGTTATTCCATGAGTTGGTGTAATAAGAAATCTACATAAAAGAAAAAAAAGAATATTAAATTCAATCCAGTTATTTCTTTATGGAGTGAAATATCACAAAAGGACATTCGTGCGTAGCCCCGCTGAGGCCTGATGTGTTCCGTCAGAGACGGTGTCGTTCTGGTTTCTTCGAGTCTTTGAAAGCTTCAGCATACAGTAGATGGTTCGTACAGTCGAACACTATTAGATTTAAAACAGTGAAGTTATCTGAATCCTCGTTACTTTAAAATCTGTGAGTCGTCTTGTCTGATTGTGATGACGTGGTATCCAGTAGGCTGTTTGTTGTGCTACCTTTTAGTTGTTTTGTTTATCTCTTTTTTTTTTCCTGTGTATTTGAATGACGTGTGGATGCTTGTGAAGCACATGATTTGTTGTGTCTTTCTGTTTTGTTTTATTTTTTTTCTTACAATACTTTTTGTTTTTGGAAAAAAAAGTAAGTAATATTTGCGCTGGTTTTCCTCTTGGCATCGGTGCAAACTTCATTCAGAGTGGAGCAATACTAACAGTAGAGTTATTACAATCAGCTGGGGTCCTGTTGTGCAGCCTTTAAATACAGGAAGAAAAATGTTACCAACCCCAACCTAAAGTGTCATAAAATGAATAGCTAGCCTGTTTTTGAGTTGGACACCACTTGTATGATTTTACAGTATCATAGCATTTTCACCAGCACATGCACACACAGAAGTAAGGAGGTGTAACCCTGTAAAAAGTACCATACGTCCGCTCATCTGTTAGTAAATGCACAGCTGGCCATTTCTATAACGTAAATGTGAATTTTTTTGCACAAAGTTGAACAAATAAGCTACTTTCCCTGTGTATGTAGTAAGTTGGTGAACTTTGGATCAGTCCAAACTTTCCGCCATATGTACATACGGCACAATTCATGTGTTTATGGAAATTGCAGCTGTGTAGTTATTGTGTAGCAGGAGCCGCTTATACACTTAATGCCACTGTATCAAAGCTTCTGAAAGCCATTTCCCATCTTATTCCCACATGTACTGTATGTTGTGTAAAATGTATTAACATGTACTATATCATAAGTATATATGAATATATAATTACTTGAGGTGCAGTAAATATTTGCCATGGATCAACAAATTCAGTAGGCCCTAAATAGTCGAATAAGTCGTTTGAGGGGGCTGCGTCTCCACGAGTGAACGAGGAAAACATTTTGTGTATTACTTTTGTATTATTTGGTCTTACCCTAATAGATATTAAATAGTTCTTGTTGCATCCTGTTTTGTTATGTGATGAGTTTGCATACGGGTACTATACAGTTGTAGATATGGAAAATGTAACTTTTTTTAAATTAACTATTGACTTTTAGGTGTAAATAGCTTTCTCGAGTAGCTGACCTTCAATTTCTTCTGTCCAAATACAAACCTTAAATATTCTAATATTCATCCCCCCCGCCCCGACATAATTGAATTTTGATTCTTTTCTAGGTTAAAACTCGCTAAAAAAATCCAATTTAGCCTAAACATGGTGATGAACAGTGATGTGGTTTCTTTTTACATCATAAATTACAATTCATAAACACTCTTATGGATGCTTTACTTTTAAGGAAGGTTGATGATTTGAATACTCCAAATGAATCAGGGGCATTTGTATATATCATTCATTTCATACCTCAGCACACTGTATCCGATTATTACAACTGGAAATGGTGTGGTAGTGGAGTAGTAACTAAGTAACCTATAATAAATTACAGAGTTATAAAATATAACAAAATGGTTCTAATATATACAAATAGCTCTAATTATAAATATTCCAGATGCTGATCACTATGCTAGACAATCTCCCAGTTTATATTTGTTATATTTGTTCAACCTGCCATCAGCAGCCAATCAGCAACTAAGATTAAATCAGAGAGGGAATAGAGCAGGGTAATGAGGGTGGCAATAAAAGAAAAACACAAGAGGAAGCCCATTGCTTTCTCCATATCCCTCCTGACTCATATTTCTGTAGCTTTGCTCTTTGCTAGTGCCATCGTCCCTGCTGGTAGCATGAGATGGTACTTGCAGCCTATTCAGGTTGCATATCCATACATGCTGTCACAAAATTTACTGGGTCTTCCTGCACAGTCCAGCACAGAAATGGAGAAGGGCATCAACCAGGCAGCAGGACCATGAACTGCTCCTTTGTGCGAGAAGGAACAGGAGGAGCTCTCCAAAGTGACCTGCAGCAGGCTACTCGTGTAAATGTTTTGTCAGAAACAATGAGATCTGCCAGTGAAGCGCCATGTGAGCCCTGAGCACATGTGACAGATGTGAAAGGGTCTGGACACAGCGTGGTCAAAATTACGCTACCAGCAACATCATCCAGCATGATCCTTTCAAGGCATATTCTTGAATCATACCATAAACCTGCATGTTCCAGCCAGCAGTACCAGGCTAAAACCCTCGGATCTGATGGTGGCCTCACCCATCACGTTCCCCAGGCCCATCCATGACTTTATCCAAGTCTGGGGGAAGATTCCCAGCACACCATCCACCATCACTTCACAAGTGTTCCCAGATGTTGGGAGTGCACATGCAAGTGGGGGCTGTAAACAGTAATGAGTACTAAATGAGCTGCATCAGCCTGTAATTTGAGTTTTTAACTCTGCTTTTTGTTGTGGTTTTGAATCCAGCCCTCAACAAGCTGCTGAAAGGGTTTACACTGACTGTTATATCATTTCATTCTCAACAATTTATACTGCATCCATGCTTACCAGTAAAGATTTTCATCTTAAATATTTCATTCATTAAGAGCCAATGTATATTTTAAGTGTTTCCTTAATTTTCTGGAGGTGTAAAAAGAATTTATGGATTCCTACACATGGCTCTAAGAGATTAAGTTTTTGCCCAATTATTCCAATGAACTACAGCCTTAAAGAATATCAATCCTTTGTAGTAATGATTTTAAACTCACTTGAGTACAAATATTTGCTAAATAAGCAACAGAAACAAATTCCCAAAGGTTTTGTATTTATGCGGTTATTTACAACTTTGCCAAATTTTGAGTCAAATATTCAATTTGTACAATTTTAGTTATATTTAAGTATTTGAATACATTTTCCACGCTTGGCAATAAGAACAATGTAAAACCAGGGAACTCTGAAACTAAACTTTAACATCACTACTAATTATTGCACTTGAGATAAAACCAGATAAAAGAGTTACCTTACTCTGAATGTGCAGGTAGATTTTACCTCATTTTAAATACTTCTCTTTTAAGTACATAAATTATTACACTACATTGCAAATATGTAACTACATAATAAAATTATGTAAATTACTTAATAATACACATTACAACTGCCACCTAATCATCAACTTTAAATTATGGAGAAATATATTTGATATTCAAGAGAAACAAAAACTAAAAAATTGCTACTGAATAAAATGTAAATTAAAACAATTAAAAAAAACTTTACAACTCCAATGCTACACACAAATACCAGTGATAATCTTAAAATTCTTTATTCATAAACTTGATGCAAGTTTACAAATTACTGTACATGGTCAAAATTTCTTCAAATGGAAAAAAACCCAAAAAACAACAAAAAACAAGAAACCCAAAATGAGCCAAGAGTGTCAGACTTGTTGGTGCCAGAAAATGAATTGAGATAAATGACACAGTCCAGTTAGAGAAGCGCCCAATTACCATTGTATTACCGTCAAACTTGAATCATCTCAGTATCTGCTGTGACCCGAGCTTTTGCATTTTGAAGGGAGGGAGTCACACATGTGGATAAAGGGTCTGTAACAGAGGGTTTAATGTGCACCTCCTCTCTACACCTGACCACAAGGGTCCCCATCATTGGTGAAGGTGTCTTGATAAAAGATATTAATAACCTCCACCCTCAGATACATCCTGTTGTCACAGGTCTGATGTAAGCAGTGTGCTGAAAACAAAAAAGAAATTCTGATCAGAAATTATTCGCGATATGACACCTCTCTGGGGAGAAGGGGGGTGGGGAAAAAAATAAATAAAAAAATCAGTGAGAGCAATTACACAGACTGGTCAACATGCTCCTTGCAATCCAGCACTCGCTATGTAAATTGCTTTATTACAAAGTCATGCGACCTGTGTTTTAAAGTTCAGTTCATCAGTGGGCAAGTATGTCAAAACATTACTGAAACTGAGCACTAATTAAACCCAGAAAGTCACCCGCAGCTCAACATGGACATGTACAGATCCCCCTCCTAAGTATTGTTTGTTACCTGAGTTGCCATTCAAATGTACTTTTGCAGACAGTGTTAGCAAATAAACTGCAAAAGAGCCAACAGATTGATAGATACAACGTGTGTCCTGTAATTTGGGGAACAGCAGCACTCTGTGTGTACTACAGGATATTGCAAGGTCAAAGTTCGAATGTACAGTTTTATAATCACACTACTAAATCATCCTTTTCCACAAGCAACACTGAAACACACCTGTGCTATATTGTAATGGCAGAGGAAGCCCTACAGATAATGGACATTTAGCTCCAAGTCATGTCGAGTGACAAGGCGGCAAATTTTAAATGGGCAAGGAGGGGAACAAAAAACAAAACAAAAACAAACAAACAAAACACTACAACAAATTTATGCAAGGATGATATGACAAGTTTGCTTTAAAATCAAATTTAAAAAAAAAAAAACAAAAAAGAAGAACAAAGAAACATCCAGAAAACCTTAATTTATTTCCTTAATAAAGTCCACTCCAGCAGATCTGCTGGATGATATGACTGCAATCAAATCAAACCCAGCTTTTTAGATCAGCGGCTGAATAGGGGGCTTCTGTACAACGTGCTGTTAACTTTACACACAGAGGGCTTCATTGTCAGCATCCAACTAGCCATCAACCTCTACAGCTATTTAAAAAAAAAAAAAAAAAAAAAAGCACTTGCAGCCTTTAACATAAATAAGGCAAGAGGACCCAAGAGGGGTTAGAACTTCCAATCTTAAGTATCCTCTCACTATAAGATATACAATATGGAAATTCTGATGTATTTCATACCTATTGGCCTTATTTTCTAATTAACTGCAAGTTGACTTGTTCACAACACTGCAGCATTTTGTTTCTGCTTGACCCGATGTTCTTCACACATTATAAAAAGCAAGTGCAAAAAAACAAAAAACAGTGAGTAGTAGGTAATCTCAAATTTAAGATAAGCTTACAAAATATGGAATCGTATCATTTGTTGTCTAGGATACCCAAATAATAATTTTTTAAAAAATGCCAAATAATATTTCTAAAACAATGTTTGCATTTATGTACCAGTTAATTTCCAAAAAAGAAAAAAAAAAAGAAACAAAAGAAACAAAAGCAGTTGTGAGGAGGTTCTGCTTCTGTATCAATCTTCCTTTAAAATTCCCACTAAATGAGGGGTAATGGACTGTGAAGCCCGCTTTGTCAAAGCAGCTGAAGAAAAAGCATTTCCCCAAATTTCTAGGGAGAAAAGTTTTTTTTTTTTTTTTTTGTTTGTTTTCAAAAGACAAATGAGCATATTTAGAAAACAGAACTAGTGATAACCTCACATAATCCTCCTCACTAAAACACTGAGGGGGAGAAGCAAAGTGAGACCGGAATAAAGTCTTTCCTGGAGCGAGGTGACGGGAATACTTGTCAAATGAGCCACGAGATGGTTTCCGTGAGAACGATGATATATTCCCAGTAAGTCAGAGAGGGAAAATATTCCAAAGAAAGCAAGACGACTCAAAGACATGTTCCCGGTGCATAGTGGTAGTAGCTCCTTATCCATCCTCTTTAGGTGGTGTGTACCAACCTGAAGGAACAGAACGACAAACGCAGTTATTTAAAGAAGCCATGTTAAAGTGGAATTCATTAACAGTGCATATTGTACACGAACACACAAAAGCCTGATATAAATGCAGTTTCAAACAACTAGAACTGTAACACAGATGTGGTGAAAGAAGAGTGCACAGTTCATCCTGCATGTGGGTCATTGATGTGACCTATTTCTGTGCACGAGCGCATCATTTCTGTTAAATGAATTAGTTTTGTTTTTTTTTATAAAACTTTTAGTTTGAATACATTTGTAGTGCCTTCAAATATAAATTTTTAAAAGTTATCTAAAACCTGTAAATGTCACATGGTCCAACTGTTCGTTTAAATGAACAGAAGACCATCTCTTTAAATGGTAAAATATTTAAAATAAAATACAGCTAGGCTGGTACACTTTTCATGGCAGGTGGTATGACCAGTGTATGTCATAAAAAAGTGATGTTTATGCTATTGCTACC